AAGAAAAGTTGTCGGGCAATTGTTGAAGATTCCAAAAATAATATTATATACAGAGTGTTCCATTTGAAAAATCAAAGTTGCTACTGCTTTCTAATAGAAGCGGCAACACCGCAGTGTCTAAAATATTTTAGTTGGCTAGAGAATGTCCGATTATGCCATCCATTAAATTTTCAAAGTGATCCGTTGTCTGGTTCACCAGAAACGTCTAATGTGCCATCCACCGTGAATCAGCCTGTATACAACTGACAGTATGTTGATGTATAATGATTCTACGGCAATTGTTGTTGTTTTCCATATTTCATGTAAATTTCTAGCACACAATTGTTCATATACCATTTAGAATTAGTCGTTTTGGATACCTCTGAAGGTTTTTTCTGAAATAACACGTGACCACATATTTCAAAGTTCTTCGATGGCAAACAGTTTTTGTAGCATTTGAAACATCCTTAATTGTCTTACACACGTTTTTTGAAGCACGAATCATCATATTTCATGATCTACACAACTCTGTGAAGAGTTTATCTTAGAATATTTTTCTATTGAGATTTCAATCACAAATTCGCCAATTTTCAATTGAATTTTCATAGTCGATGCAAATAAAAATGAAAAGGAAGAAATCATACCATTGATAATTTTCGCCTGAAACGTTTAGTTAAATAATTTTCAAGTTGTCCTAAATTGGATTCTTCAAATTCATCGTCAAAAAATTTCTCCTCCAGATCTTTTGTTTCTTTAACTTCTGCAAAATCTTGTTCCGTACCTTCCACGCGTTTGGTACTTTTTTGCTTTTTACCACCTTTGTGTCTACGTCCTCCAGCGACTTCTTCGTCGTCCTCCAGTATATCTTCTAACTCTTTGTGTCCTCTTTTTTGCTTCTTTTTCTTCGTCTGAGGATCTACTCTGCAATAAGTTGAAATTGAAAACAATATTTTCACAGTCGTTTTAGAGGTTACTATTTATGGCAACTATTTTGAAAATGGTGGAAATCAATTGAATCTGTATAATAATAATAACTTTATTCCCAACGTATACAGATTAGAGTACAATTAAAACAAAATATGTGAACAAAGTGGTTTGGCGATAAGAGCAGAGCTCTTGTTTCGCGCAAGAAGCGCAAGAATATGTAAGTACATAAATATTTGTATAAAAGTAAGTATGGCCTTCATGGAGTAGAAACTACAAAACATTTTAATAAATTTGTGAATTTGGTGTTATAGTTAAGCAAATTATATTTCAGCTTGAGGTAAAATAGGCCGATTGAATACTAGACAACAAAAAGTAAGAAAAATAGATAAAACCTTAGACAAATATTACAGGTTTTATAAGAATAAAATATTAATGTACAATACAAATAGATAAAATCTTAGGCAATATGGATAACTTTATTTATGGATTAGCAAATGGAAATGCGGAATAAGCACGGAGAATTTACCAGGACAGATATCTTAACATAGTAAGTCCATATTATGTGAAACTAGGAGTTTTAATGAAAACGCAGGTGGTGGAAGACCAGAAACCGTAACAACACCTTACTATTTTATCGCATCAATATACTTGATGCGATAAAATAAAATTCTTCAAATAATACCGGGAAGATTGCAGTGCAGCCGGAAGTCAGCCTAAAATCCGTATCCATATGGATAGTTCTAAAAATGAACTACCTATACCCATATCACATACAGAGGATCCAAGCTTAATTCGATGGCACACAATAATACATTTTCACCAAATATTTTATTTACGGCCGAAACACATTTTTCACGAGATGCTTTAATGAACTTCCACAATGACCATTTTTGAACCGAAAAAAATCTCCACGTTATTAGGGAAAGATATTTTCAGCACAAAGTTTTGCTGAAAGTTTGGGTAGAAATGATTGGTGACAACCTAATTGGCCCATTTTTCCTCCCAGGAAGGTCAACAGGTGAATGCTACACGGACTTTTTGCGAGATCATTTACCCATTTTGGTAGAAGAAGTACCGGTACTTGTAAGATGTAACATATTGTTTATACACGACGGGACTTGAGCTCATTCTAGTGTTCTTGCTCAGCATTTCGACATCACCTACCCCAATCGTTGGGAAAGGCACCACCCACTATTCCCACACTAGAAACCACAGTACCGGAAATTACTTCACGATAGCGTCTAGTCAGGCGAATTTTGAAACAGCTCAATATCAACAAGGCGTCTTTAAGTACGATGACGGGAACTTCATCAGGGCCAGTGCGCAAATAACTCGCACCAGTATTTTGCAAACTTTTCAACCTGTCTAATAAGAAAGGGGTTTTCCTTCTTGTTGAAAGATTGCTCGTGATCAGCCTATTCCGATAAAAGGCAAGGAAAATCTTCCAAATAACTATAGAACAGTAGCTTTGCTATCAGTGACATCAAAATCAAGGAGAAAGTCGTAAACCACCATATCCTCAAATATTTGGAAGACTTCAATATCTTGAGCGATTTCTAAGGACTTCGACCGTGTGTGGCATGCAAGTTTTCTAGCCAAACTTCGATGCTATGGCTTGTCGGATCATTTTTGTGTATGTCACTTCAGCTTCCTGAAAGAACGTTTCCTACAAGTGGCAGTCGATGGTTTTCTCTCGAATAATTTCACCATCAACGCTGGCGTTCCCCAGGGATTCATATTCTCTCCAACCCTCTTTTTATTGTATATCAACAACTTATTGAAAAAAAAAAAACAGAATTCAATATTTTGCTTTGCTGACGACAGCAATCTTGTTTCGTCATTACATTTGGATTCCAGGACATCGGCTACGGAGGCACATCTTCACCGGCATTAGGAGGTTGCATATCTTGATATGGATCTAGAAGTGATTTCGAATTGGGGTGAAAGTAACCAGGTTCAATTCAATGTTACAAAAACCTAGGAATTGTTTTCTCCAAGAAGATAAATGTCTCAGACAATTCCGCTTTCTGCTGATAAGTTTGTTGGGGGTTGAAATGGGCACAATCATGTCGCTGGAATTGCAAAGGCTGCTTCTCGAAAGCTTGGAACACGGTTCCGAACCAAAAAACTGTACACACCTCAGCAATTTTTGATGCTTCATAAAGCTCAGATCAGACCTTCTTTGTAGTATTGGCACATTTGATTCCACCAAGAACAGTACATATCAGAAATACGAGACAAATTATGGCTGCTATTCGTTTTGAGGTTCAACTCAAAACGAATAGCATCTGGAGAACTGCGTTTATGTGGAATAAACTTCCTGAGAGAGTTTTTCTAAATGGATTTCATCTCTATGAATCGCTACTTTCGCATATACACCGCTCTGAGAGCGGCTCAAGGATTTTTCTGTAGTGCTTGTGTTTTGTCCTTGAAAAAATTAGCCAGCTCGCAGTCCTGATATGAATTCTTTAGATTTCTATTCATGGGGTCATTTGATGGCTCTTGATTATAAAATTCCTGTACTAGATGTGAATTATTTGAGGAATTGAATAATTGACAATTGCAATATCATAAGGAATACTCCAGGTATGTTTGAACGTGTCAGAAAATCAATGTCAAATCGACTGCGATCGTGTAATTTATCAGAACTTGGATAGTATGCTCAATTACTTGTAGAATTGGCCGCGGTGGTAGTGCGCCCGACTCACGATCGGAAAACCGTGGGTTCGATTCCCGACTCGACCAGATATTTTTCTCGAGATCTGGTTGAAGCTGGAAGCTGCAACCGTGTAAGGAATCACACGTTAAAAGGTAAGACCTCGTTAGTCCTCAGCTCGCACAAGTTTCCCAAATTCTGAGAGTTTTCGTTCATATGGGGGCGACAGCTGAATAACGGAAAAAAGTATTTTAAACAGATTTTAAGGACGGAATCGTTTATTTATTCCTGGTTTTTATTTTATGTTGTCCATGGATAATTTTTTTTCACGTAAACGAAGTTTGATATGATGAAAACACAAGCGACAAAAATCTAAAAAAATTAAAAACTACAGAAAAAGTCAGTGGCGCTCTTTTTTTTCTCAATATTGTTGGCTGTGGTGTCCACTGAGACTCTACTGGACCTATTAATCTCAGTCTAGCCAGGGCTAAATAAGCGCCTTATCACTCCAAATAACTAGTGAATTTTAACCAAATAGGTGTAAGTATATTTTATAAATACCGGGGAATACCGGGACATATGTTCATTAGAGTTTTTTTCTTAAAGCGACCTAACGAATCACCCTCTAAAGTTTCGTAACGCAGTTAGAAAACACCCTGTGTAGGGATGCTGCAAAATGTGTGATTCCATATTGAAAATAGTTGTATTCAAATAGTTATTTGTCTCTGAAAGAAACATTTTCATAGACTCACTCTCAGCTATGAATTCATCAATTTGGGTTCCTGTATTCCTAACTTTTTTTGGTAAAAAATTATAAGTAAGAGATGAAAAAAGGAATGAAAATTTCTGTTTTTTAACACTTGTATAGAATAGAATAGAAATTTTCATTCCTTTTTTCATCATGATCTCCTACCACATAGTAACGGCTACATCCATCAATTTATTGAAAGAAGTAAGTACAGCTAGACAAGCCACATACTACTTTAAACTAAAAATGAAGTACCATCAATCATCGCAGAATTTATGGTTCAACCAAGAATGCCTGAGAAGAAAAAATTACCCCGAAGTACATTAACATCAGAACCAGGGCAAAAACACCAGCAGCGGAGAAGGCGACAATGAAGGCACAAGTGATCTGGCTAAAAGAAGAGTGCAGTAAAAAATATAGAAATTTTCATTCCTTTTTTCATCATGATCTCCTACCACATAGTTAACGGCTACATCCATCAATTTATTATAAGTAAGAGATTTTGCATAACTGATTTTTTCCATCAACAGATTTGTAATTTCATATTTATTTCGAGTTATATAGATGAATGAGTCAATGTTGTTAATATAAATTTTATTTTATAAATAATTCATCTTTGAAAAGTGGAAGGTTCAACATGAATGATAGTGAGCAACCATTTTCTTTTGAATATTCATTACACATGAACAAAGTAATCAAATAATTGTCAGAACTTTCAGAAAATTCAACCTGTATCATCATCACCATCATCATCATTCATCAACACCAATGAACGAGAGGAAGTTTGTAAAATTACAAAATAATTTCCTTAACTATGGATCAAAGTTAAAAGCGCTTTCAACATCACCAAAACCTGCCCCTTTAAATGAGGTCAATACTGTTAACATTTTATCATATTTTTATGAATATCCAGAAGTTTCCATTCGCAGTGCAGAAAAAGATTTAGGTGTATCACATGCTTCAATATAAGTAATTTTGAAAAATCACGAAGTGCATCCGTATAAATTTACCAAAGTTCAAGCTCCCAAAGCAGAAGACTTTCAACGTAGAGTGCATTTTTGCGAACCTCTTTTAATACATATACATGAAAATCGGGAATTTTTGGAGCGACGAATCAAAATTTACGAAGGATGGTATTTTAATAGAAGGAATAAACATTTTTGGGCTGGTCATAATCCTCATCTGACAAAAGAAATGGGTTTTCAAGAAAAATTTGACTTGAATGTTTTCTGTATTTTGAAGAACAATAAAATTAGCTTTTTCATTCATGAAGACTTACTAAATGCAGAAAGATATCTTCAAATATTAAGGACAACTTTTACCGATTTCCTCGAAAATATGCCTTTAGAAAAATACGAGTATAAGAATTCGTGGTTTCAACTGGACGGAGCGCCAGCACATTCCACCCAAGAAGTTTCCAGGAAACTTTACGAAATGTTTGACAATTGTTGGTTTAGGAGATCACCCGAACTCACGCCACTTGATTTTTTATGGGGTGTTTTAGAAGAAAGAGTGTACAGTGCTCCAGTGCTATACCAAAAAAGAACAGCGACAGCGAATAGTGCGGTATATTGAAGATCAGGAG